GGCAACGGACCTGCGTCTTTCGAAGAAGACCCCACTGTTTCGAATGAAGGCGCACACATAGAGGAACAGTCACTAGTGGAAAGTATTTCCGCAGCAGAGGAGTCGACCGTCATTCCGGAAAAAGAGACCGAGCTATCTTCTGAAGGAGCCCATGAAGCCTTACCACACGAAGAAATCATACCTCAAGAAGAGATGGGGTCGGAAGCTAGTTCTACTCTTGCAAATATCGGAAACTTCGAAATGGCTTCTACTGATTTAGCTATAGAAGAATCATCCGCCATCCCTGATGAAGACGGTTCTCCAATCGCGCCGGACACACAGCTAGCAGAGAAGATAGAAACTACGGGTAACGCCGAAGTGCCCGCCACGTTAATGGGAAGCCCAATTCGCGCCGCCCAGGATGAGCCAGTCAACTCAGACACTGATCTTGGAGCTTCTTCCGAGGTTGTGACTGGAGATCAATTGGGTATGGAGTTGGATCAAAATGATTCGCCTGTCATTGGGTCATCTCAGAATGACCTAACCCTTGCTGACACTATTGAAGACGAACCTGTAGACTCTGAGGAGCCTGTGGCGCAAACGGAGGAGGCCGCTTCCGTGGGATTTGCTGATGTTACGGTTGAATCTACCCATGGAGAAATTCCAACTGATGCAGGCGAAGACGTCCAATTACTCGCAAGGGGTACAAGTGCCGAAGAACCGATAGAAAGCCCGATAGTACAGGAGGAGCATTCAGCTCACGAACAATCAGTCAACCAGACTCCAGAAAATTTCGAGGCTTCGAGTGTTGAGCCAGACTCGTCTCCTTTTAGTCCATTCGTCGTTCAAACTGTCGAAGACCAAACAGATTCTGCCCTGTCCGCGGGAGAAACTTCTTCAAACACTTTCAGTCCTCAATCTGTTACAAACGAAGAACAGCCCATCCAACAGCCCGTCTCGGAGCAGGAATCACAAGTACATGATGAGAACGTGGAGATATCTCCTGCTGTTGAGGATAAGACTGTAAAGGGTGCAGACAGCAACATTCTCCTGGCGGATGAAGCATCTCCCGGGGAAGAAGGGACTCCAGAAATTGCACACGACACCCAAACAGCAGAGGCCGCTGCTGTTGAAACTACGAGGACTCCAGAAACACTTGAAGGATCTTCGAAGGACCAACCTACGGAGACTACAGCAGCTGCCTCTGAACCAGTCGCAGTTTTACACAACAGCATGGAAGTAGTCGCGAAAATGGCTCCCGAGGATGCTTCTAACCTCAGTGTCGACGACACCGAGATTGAAAGACCCAAGTCGCCATGGACAACATCGTACAGTGTCATCAATCAGGGTCCGGACATGACTGTAGAAGAGGACAGATCCCAGATTGAAGAGGTTTCCCTGTCTGACGTGTCTGACGTGCCCTCTGGCACAGAAGTATCAATGCCAGTGATAAAGGTTGTACAGGACCAATCTGAGCCATCGGCCGCAAAGGTAAGTCGGGATTTTTTATGTGACTGATGTTTCTGATATATCAATTTACAGCCTGAAGAAACAAATAGTCCATCCAGACCCTCTTCGCCATGGGTCCCCTCATACTCCGTGTCTGTACAAGGAAGTCCTTCTGTCTCTGTCCACAATAGCCCTGTAATTGCTGCTGCTGATAGTTACGAAGGCGAGGCTCTCGCTTCAGAACCCGTCGACGCATTGGTTCCTGGAGCTGCTTCTTCATTCTCTAGTAGCGACCACATACCTGAAATTGACACAGCTATGCAGTCCACTGAACCTGAACAGCTATTGGAAAAAACTGCCAATGAAATTGTAGAGGCCCCTCAAGAAGTCGATCTTCAACCCGAACATAATGGGCCCACGGAGAGAATCACATCAGACGAAGAAGAAGCGATTGGTCCTGATACGCCAGCCGCCGACTCTGCCCCCCAGGAGATGCTTGGAGCGAAGGATGCTTTAGCAACTGATGCCATCAACGACGGCGGAAAGACATTCAAGACCAAAGACTCTGCAGATGTTGAGAACATAGCTGAACCAGAAGAAGTCCGGAGTGAAAGTGATTCTTCAAAGGAACCCTCCGTGCCAGAGGTTAATGTCATCCCAGAGATTTCTGAAGCGACGGTCGCAAATGTAAGTCATCAGCAGTTCATAAGGTTGGAGCGTTGCTCAAAAAGTCCAATTCATAGCCTGAAGAAATCAAAGAATCATCTCGACCATCGTCGCCTTGGGTCCACTCGTATTCTGTGTCTGTACAAGGAAGTCCATCCGTTTCAGCCCACCCAAGTCCTTTACTGGTCATGACCGACCTTCCCGAAACCGAGGCTACCCAATCTGTCGTTCTTGAGCTATCCGGAGAGTTGGTCAATCCTCCTTCGGTATCTGATGAAATTGCAACACCCGATGTTACAAGTGAATTGATAGAAAAACCTAGTCTCGATTCTATGGTCTATCAAGATAATTCTGTCGCTCCAGCTGAGCACGTCACCGAATCGTTATCGGAAACACCTCTAGAAGTATCCTCTGAATCAACGGAGGATGTAGCTGCTCAGGACGCGGTGCAGGATGAAGCTGTTGACATAGTTTCGACAGTCGAAGAGTCAGACGATGCAAGCCAGATTGTGCAGGAGGTATGTTTTTGGCGCCTGAGTATAACTTGGAATAAGTTTTGACGAGAAATCCTTGTTGGACAGTATGATAGCAAGCAGGAGACGGTGTGTTATCTTTCCCTCATGACAGTGTTAGCTTAAATGAACTCACAACGTGTTCAACGCCTGTCTCTAGGACACGCCATTTTTGAATGTACCTGATGAACAAGCGACTGACGTGTCCGATAAATTGTCCAAGGACACGGCGTTCCCAGATGTTCTTTCTCCATCTGCATTCGCTGCTGGAATAGAGAGGCCTAGATCACCATGGGGCTCATATGAAGTCACGAATCAATCGCCTTCCGCGGTAAACCCTGTCGTCGAAGATGTCGAAGATGTTGGGGCTATAGCCCCTGCCTCATTCATCTCAGAAATACCTGTAGCCCAACCCGCAAGCGAAACTGCTTTCGATAACTTGCCCAAGACTGAAGACGCTACTGTGCCTATGGCAAGTTCTGAGGTATGTCTACAATAATGTACTGATTTCTGGAGTTCTTTACACTGTTCCCTCCAGCTGACTGTGGACACTACCGGGACCGATCTTCCGGAAAGACCTAAATCACAATGGACTCCATCTTACTCGGTGAGTAGGCAGGGATCTCAGATTTTCAATGAGGCCAAGGATCAACTCGGTGAATCTGAACAATTGCCTCAAGGCGTTGAAAATTCAACAGTAAGTCTACGTCTTTCACCTTTCAAGTTTTACTGAGAATTGGTATCAGAATGTCCCCGAACCTCCAAGCATTCCTCTTATCGAAGAGTCTGCTCCAGCAGGACCGTCTGCTGAAGCATTCCCTGTTTCAGAGCACTCTGACGAGATAGAGTGAGTGCTCGCTCCATGTTAGATGAGATTGACGTCCTGATCACGTCTTATCTTTTAAGTCGTGACACTGTTGGAAATACTCTTACAGTTTCAAAGGACCGTAAACGACTCGAATCCACCACATCGTCCTTGTTCTTCCCAGGTGGCTGGTTCTCCAAAACCCCGGCGGGTCGAACCTCTCTTGACAATGCACAAGGGGAGATCAGTTCTCCTAAAGTCATGTCTCCAATCGAAGGACGTCCCTCAGTCGATTTGCTTGGGGGTTCATCAGTTCCAAGCTCAGCACCTGCCGACGCTGCTCACGAAGAAACTGATGATGATAAGGAGAAGAAGGGGAAGTGGTGTGTCATCATGTGAAAGGGCACCTTGACTGTTCGCCGGTTTCTTGGTCGTATATGCTGCAATTTCTACTCGATTTCTATTCCCGAATTTATGACCCGTAACGTATTCTTTTTTATATCTCTTTGGTGCTTGCTTTCGTTTAATCGGATCTTCGTCTGATTGACTATTTTTGCATAATTTTGTTATTCTTTACATGGCTGTCGCATCGCATCGTCATAAATTTACCGTTATAGCACATTGGTTTTGTGTATAGAACAACGGAGGCGGTGATTAGTTTTTCTTCGTTTTTTCCTCGACGATCTCCACATTATCAGCAGGAATACCTTTCAGAATGCCAACCTCTCCTTCGATCATCTCGAATATTTCATCACTGACATCACCCTGTACGACGATTTCCTCTTGGCCTTGCGGATTCTTGGTGACTGACGCGCCTGTTGCGAACTTGGATGCAAATTGTTTTGCAGCTTTCTTCAGATCGATGCCAAATGCTTCGAGGCCATGTACAGAGGTAACATGCTTTCGCTTGTTACGTTCGATTCTCTTGATAGTAACCTGAAATCAAATATAATATGGATGAAGAGGGTATACAATGGTCAACACTCCATAACGAACCTGGGAAGCCATTTTTTTCTTCAAAGCTGCATCAGCCTTCGCTTCGGCTTTAGCCTCCTTCTTAGCTGTGTCCTGCTCTAGTTTTGATTGAGCTTCCAAAGACAATGTTCCTATTTTCGCATGTAGAGCCTCTGCATCGTGTGATCATTGAATCGCCGCAGGGTATCGACGAACAGAGGATAACCACCTTCTGAATAGTACTTGTTGAATCGCTCCAAATCATGTTCTTGTAGCCATTCTTTACATCTGGTCAGACTCGAGCCAAATTCGCAGTATTCCACAGGGAATGTGCAGACTAGAAGGAAGGGCACTGCCCTGAGTCTCGAGTGTTTTGAAATGCGAGTGAAGCACTCAGACCTCCGCAATACAGAACTTGAACTGGGGGTTTTGATTCGGGGGGTGGCGGTCCCTCCGGTTCTGAGGTTGCTGGTATGGGATCTGCAGTAGTAGCGGATCTGTCGCCTTTGTCGCGGTTCTTTTTAGCAGGCATGATGAAAGTTGTGAAATGGACACTAATCATGATGGACATTCTACCCGCCTCGCAAGCAAAACCCCTGAAGAAATATGATCTTTGAGTAATGCCCTTCACGCAACCGACCATAGCTCAGCTGGAAGAGCACAAGACTGTAAATGGTGAACTGTATCTTGGTGTCGCCTGTTCGAGCCAGGCTGGTCGGAATTGTGTTTTTATGTTTTTGTCCCATTCAAGAGCTGTAATTTGATCAACGATACCTACGTTTTCACGTACAGTTGAGTTTTCTTCTTTCTCTATATTTGCCGCTAGCAAGTAAGTCTAAGTACTCGGCTTTGCAGCCTTGAGAAGATAAAATCGAGGGTCATCGTTAATGTGCATGCCACACGCTATCCCTTGTAAACGTCAGGGCAAAACCAAGTCCCGTAACCGCTCCATGGCCTGAGGCTCTTGCTGAACTTGGGCGGTCCAGTGTTCCCGTCCACTAGGTACACCAAATCACACGCACGTACAGTTATTTCCAAATGTTATACATAAGTATATACGTTAGATATGGCAGTAAATAGTAGATATGTCAATGCCTCATTTCGACGACAACATTGATAGTCATGAGCGCAGCATAGCAAGCGATAAGAAAGATGCCCCAACTCCGCGTCAGGAAGTACCCGTTGAAAGGCACGACGATGATGGTTACTGCTAATAAAGCTAGCAATCCTACTGTGCTCACGAGCAAAGTAGAACCAAAGTGTAGTTGATAAGGCTCAGATGTTTGCGAAATGATGTATGATCCTGAAATCCCGACGCCGAGCAGGATGTTAAGCATTGGCCCCCCAAAGCAGGCGGAGAATCCCATGATCGGGGCGAATACCTAGGGTTCATTTCTTAACTCTGGATATAGATGATATGTTTTGTCATACACTCACAGCAATGCTCATATTAGCCACTAAATCCGCAAGCGAGTTTCCGACTGCAAAAATCGTCAATCCGATGATAGCATCGGATAGTCCGAAAATGAGACCAAATGTCTGGACAAGGGAGAAGAATCTCAGCTTGATACCCAAACTACGAAGAACGAGTATCTCACCTGTAATACCTGAACGACTTCGTCGGCTATTGCCATAATCCAAACGATCGCAACAAAGAATCCCATGGAACAACGGGCCATTGTGAACGCCATATTATCGCCTCGATCAACGAAGACAGCAACAAGAGTGGCTAAAATTGTACCCGCTACAGCAGCGCCAAGGAATAACCAGCCTTGGTGAGCATGTCCACCTGAAAATCCATAAGCATCCAGTATCACCGGCCAGGAGGATCAGAAGGCCAACGCACTAAACAAAACCGCAACACAGAACAACGGCCCAAGCAGTACTTGCACAGCTGTCAACCACTTATTGAAACCCACACCATGCAATTCATCTTCAACCTCTTCCTCCGCTATCAACACCCTCTCAATCCCTTCCTCTTCAAAGTCAATCAAATTATGACTGCTATCCAGCTTTTCTCGTGAATGGTGAGCTGGAACGTAAGGTGTCACAACCACGGGCAGTGTCAGCGTCAGCAACATGACTGCCGGCGCTGCGAACATCGAAGCGATTTGTCCGAGAACGCTCTGGCTCCGGAAATGATGAAATGTCGGGAAAAGGGTGTAGTAGCATACGCCGAGCAGGTTTTTCAATCGCTGCCATTTTGTGAGAGGTAAATGTGAAAAATTTTGTGACTCGGTATCGGTCCCAGTTGGAGAAGCGGGGGTGTGAGATATAGTAGGGATGGAGGAGGACATACTTGAAGGGTCGTCGAAATAGGTACCACTATTGAGGTCAGGACTTCCCGGTTGTGAATCGTTCGGAGCTGGGGTCACACGAACATGAGGAGAACGCTCATCTAAAGCCAACGCAGCATCCCAAGGATCTCGTTCTCGTTCATGGTCATGCATTACTGGTGTTCTTGGACGCGATCTAGGTCGGGAGTGATAATGACCACCTGCGTAAGGGGTGACTGGACTGTCGAATATATTCAAGGACGAACTCGATGCTTCGTTTCTCAGTGATGCGACAACTTGGCGGAACTCGAGTGCGCCAACCAAAGAGAAGGACGGCATTTGAGAAAAGTGAGGTGTATGAGGATTGGAACCAAAGGTAGGAGAGGGTGTCCGAGAATGTGGATGCCTTGGGATATCGGTTCGAATTCGAGGGGGTTCAGGTGAGGAATGAGCGCGGATTCGGTTAGGAGTGGAAGGAACAGGAAGGGTATTCTCAGTTGAAGCTGCAGATATTTCTGTTCATGAGTGAATTCTTGCATCAGTAAACAAATACTTACGCTCATCTCTATACGATACGTCAAAGATAGTAGACGACGGAATTTCATCGTCTCGATATTCTGCACGGACTATTGCCTCGTGTTCTCTGCGTCGCTGGAGTCTTCTGTTCCACCATGTGCCAATAATTACTGTAGTGACGTAAGTTGCATACAATACGACCATCACAGCCGCCTCCCATGGATGAATAACGCTATCCTTCAAGATGACGAGTAGAAGACCAACAGCTACGGCAAAAAATCCAACATCACGTAGGAAAGGTCCAGGTTTGACGTGAAAGGGTTTGATGATGCATATTGAGCCCACGACACACGATACGATGAAAGAAGCGGCGCCTAAGAGTTCTCCGATAGCAAGACTGCCAGAATTGGCACGCATTGCAGAGAATGTGGAGAATACATCAGGACTTCCATTTCCAAACGCCAGAAATGTCACCCCAGCAACGTTCTCGTCGAGGCCAAGGAGCTGCGCAATGGTTGCGAGATTAGGAGTGAAAAAATCCGAAGCACTGATTCCCAAGGTAGAAAAAAGGAATATAAGCCATACGACGAGGCCTATGAAGACTGAAGGACGCAATGCAGCTTCTGTACAAAAATAATACCGGAGGTATTGCAGAGAAAGAAAGGTACGAGAGCCTGCACAAGACTGAAATACATGCGCGCATTGCTGATCTGTCGTAAATGCAAGAGGACGACACTAGTATATATTTAGTCCGAACAGGATCCACTGAGTATGGTCCTTGCGCACCTGCCCTTCCTCAGATAATCCCGAAAATTCCTCGATATATCGTTTCACAAGACTACTTTCACTCCCAGAATGATGAAGACCAGTTTGAAATTGGCCATATCGTCCACGAGACCATAAGAAACATTGGACGAGGAACAATATGGCGAAAATTAATTTGAACGAATGAGCGGCCATGGAAATTGAAGGAAAAGATACATGTGAAGCGTGGACGGTGAAGTGCCGGACGGATAGCCGCTGCTGAGCTTTTTCACCGTCGACAGGGGGATTTCTAAAATAGGTAATACTTTAAAAACACTCTTCTACCGATCGAGCATACGATATCAGCTCAAAAAGTGCCGCCTAATCATCGAATTCACCGACATCGTCTGACCAGATATTCAACACAGACATAGTAGTACATAGTGACATTGATGAGTTCCGCTAGCAAACATACTAAAGAAACAGTTATTCATGCGCAGGAAGATTCCAAATGCGAGTTGAGAAGCCATACTTGTTCTGAAATTAAAGAAGGGACGATGAGTGCAGGAGATCGGGAAGACCTGCCAAACCTTGGATTCTCTGAGCTTGAGTAAGAAGCGTATGAAGATACGAAGCGGCTCTTAAAGCACACTAGAGTGAGGAGCTTAGCCTTCAACGCCCGAATGATTCGGGAATTGGTCAAGATAGAACTGGACGCTACTGGACGGCGCACGGCGAAAAGAGCTGTATTCAAAAATTAACTCAATCCAGAATTGCTTGAGCCCCCTTCCGACAATTGCTTGGTAGGACCTTTGATACCTTTTGTTCGGGGATGATCAAGTTGGGTCGGGGTAAACATGGTTATCAAATTTTCGATATAGTATAATAGTCGCAGGGCATTCAGGGCGGTTCAGAGATGTCGAAAACTCCAGGTGGGTTGAGACTACGTAAGAAAGCCGTCGTCTGCGACTCTGCTCGCAGATTCTCAGATTCTGGTATAAGACGTCACGTACAATCTCATTTCTTTCGCTGAAACCATGCGCTAAATAAAAGCCTCCCAATGGCTATATCACACCCCTTCTCTCAAATCTACCTGGAGTCGCATAGAGATCAATATCACAGAATGACTCGGTGATGACAGGACAGAACAGGATTTGTAGTTATAGGCTCACGCAGGGTCCACGGGTATAAATCGGTTCAACCTGAACTTGATTCTCTGACCTTGCGCGAAGAAAATCTTCATCAAACGAAATGCGTCTGCTGTTGGCTACGTTAGCCCCGCTCTTGGTATGTATCAGAAACAGGCTATAGCTCATGATTAGAGTATGTAACCTTACTTGCAACTTTCAGGGCCTGTTCCTTTGGAGGAGCAAATACACGCTCTACTACAATATGTTGACTAGAATGGATTTGCCAGATGGATACTACTCTGAGGGAGAAGTGAGCTCGCATTGTCGCTCAATGAACTCTGTGTCGGATCGGTCATTCAAATACTGCGAGGATGCGTCGTTTTGGGAGAATTGTGAGTATAGGTTTCGCTTCGCGACAGTATTTGCCAGCCCCTCAATTGGTGAACTCTGTTATCATGATTCTGACTGAATTCTTAGATGACGCTGACGGAAAACTTGAAGAACGACGTGTAGTCGTATCTTGCGACTCTGGACGCAGGGAATGGAATACTGTCATGGGTCCCCTGCTGAACCCATTCCCTCGAGGAAGCTTGTGGATTCACTCTCCAAAATCAGGCCAAACGACTCGTCTGATCTTGGAAAATTTTCCTGAAGATCATACTTTCCATCCTCTCGGTGTCGAAATTTACCCCTCCTATTCCGGGAACGCGTCTTACATGTACGTTGTCAACCACGCAGCAAACAAGACAGTCATCGAGCAGTTCCTTATCACCCCGTTGTCCTCTTCCGCGAAACACATTCGGACTCTCTCCCATCCGTTCTTCATCGCTTCCAACGCCCTCGCATTGACATCTCCTACTTCATTTTACGTGACCAACGATCATATCTTCACTAAACGTCTTCCATACGTCGGTGCAGTCCTTCCAATGGTAGAAACAATCTTAGGTCTTCCCCTCAGCTTTACCGCTCACGTTACTATCAATCCCGACGAGAAAGCCGAAAACGTTGTACTCTCCCACACAGTTGTTGCGCCATTCGTAGCCTACAGCAATGG